ATCAGAAGAAGATCTCCCAAAATTAAAATATTGTAAAGCTATAATTAAAGAAACTTTTCGTATAATGCCGGTTGTAGTTCTTACACCTCGCCAACTTGCTGAAGATTGTGAAATAGCTGGGTACAAATTGTCTGCTGGAACTCAGATGTTTTTAAATTTTTTAGGTGCAAATTTTCATCCTGACATTTGGACTGATCCTGAAGTTTTTAATCCGGATAGATTTTATAATGATGATGAAGATATAAAAGTTGATGCAAAATATTTACCAATTTTTGGCGGAAATTTACGCCTCTGCCCCGGAAGAAGGTTGACAATGACTTCGTTACTTTTATTATTAGCATTAGTATATAGAGACTATAACGTTGAGTTAGCGAACTTCCATGAGCCATTAAAACTCGTTATGGGAGGTATTTGTAATTGTAAAGAGTTGAAAGTTAGAATTAGTCCGCGAAACTGATATATAGTTCATTTTAATATACAGTTGATACTGTCTAATTACATACTGTCTAATTGCATATACTCTCTAAATGCATAAAAATTTTTGATTTTTAATTATTAACGCAAAAATGGTTCTTATGACTTAAATGTATATATTGTCTATATGCATAAAAAAAAGTCTCTACGGATAGTATGCAATTAGACAGTACCGACTGCATATATAACATTCTAGCTTCAAAAATTTTTTAAAACTGTAAAACATCTATCTAAAATTTTAACAATAAAATATTAAGAAATAAAAATCTTGTTTTTGTAATTAAGAATAAAACTAAAAAATAAAATTATGTTTTAAGATTTGTTGTATTAAATTTGGTTAATGCTTCCAAAAACCGAATAAAGCATATTTTTATCTAATATATTCTTGATTAAATATATAATATATTAAGGGACTGATACATATACCATTATTTTTGCTATCCGTACTAATGATGCTTGACGCAATTATTTTTGAGATGACGAAAGGTTTCGTCATGGTTTTATCTAACGAAACCCTTGGCGATTGATGAAACTCATGATGCACAACAAAACTCGTAACGCATGACGAAACTCTTGACGAAATTAAGTTCCTAATAAAATGCTAACATATAGTTGGCCCTCTTTTTGACAATCTTATTTATACCGTCTTTTGGGCATTCTGAATCTTAAATTTTTTTCAGAAATATCATTATAAAGACTCATCGCTCCTGAAAGCATAATTTTTAATTGACAATGAATTTTTTCTATTAAAAATCGTTAATCATGACAAGTTAACTCCACAAAAATTAACAAAGCCATACAAAGATTAATTTTTAGTTTTACATACATTGAATCTGACTTTTTATTGCCCTATGAAAAAATAGGTACAAAAATGATAAAGAAAAGTACAGATAATATACGGAATATAATATATATATCGTACGTTGAAATAGAATTGTTGTAGATTTGGAATCTACTTAGGTTGATACCGAATAAACATAGATTGTAAGAGAATTCTAAAATGTGCCCGAATTGGTAAAGAATTCAAATTTAACTTAAGGCAAAATAAAATAAATACAGAATTAATTTATTAAATATGTCGATTTTCAATTTAAGAAGCTTTAGAATAATGTTTTATTCAAATCGTATTGCAAAGTATTACTTTAAGAGCTATAACATATGCTTATATATCTATGAGTGATTTTTGCATTTATAATTACTAGGATGACAATTACTACCACAAGTCAATTTCATTTTTTTACAGTTAGGCGAGACCGATTTAATTCAGTGGTTTACATTACATCCTACTCACAAAAAAAGAGGGGGGGGGAGGGGGCTGGAGGGAGTTTATTATGAATTTTTTCTCCGAAATGCTCCGCGTTATTATAAAAATTTTCCGAAATTTTCCGCGTATATAGTGAGGGGGGAAGGCGGGAGAGGGGGGGGTAACGTAAACCACTGAATCGAATTGGTCTCGCCTTACAGTGATTTTTCTCACAAGTACTTTTACAATTACATTTTATATTGCCTACTTGTAATGATGATTGCGCATTAGATGCTTCATGAACGCCTATGAATGTCAAGGGAATATTGTCCAATTCCGGAAATTTATCTGGACCCAAAGGTAGTAACTCATTAGCACTATATGTGACTTTAATAATGCCGGACTTGCATCCAATTCTTTATATGTTATCCTCTAAAACTTCGAGTACCTTGCAAGGAAGAGTTTTTCGATCACAGTGAGTTAGATCAATCACAGGAATCTTGAGGTGTACCAAATCTCCAACGTTATATGTTTTAGCGAATCTTTTATTGCGCTTATTAAGCTGCAACTTCAAACCATCACGATATCTATCGAGAGACTTCACTACTATATTTCAATAAGTTTCATGCTAGTAGCTTAGTCATGCCATAAAAAATCGGCAGTCACGCGGTGATCGTCATGCATAATTTATTTTTATTGGCCAAATTTTTATTATCTGTATCATAAGACGGCTAATTTTTACTAAACTTTGAGCGATGGTATATTAACAACCACAAAGTTAATTTTAAGGGGAAATTACAAATAAGGGCCCAAAACTGAAAATAATTACAAATAAGGGCCAAAATGAAAATAATAACAAATAGAGGCCCGAGTTTTTGATAATTATTACAAATAAGGGCCCAAAAAATTTTGCCATGATCAAGCCCCATCGATCAATGACTCAAATGTGACACATAATATAGTCATTAATTATCAACCGCATAAGAAATGTAATAATGATAAATTAGTAATTTAAATATAAATTCAAATGCGTAATAAAAAATGTACGTACCTCTTCTAATCTATTCAATTCACTGAACATATCTTTAAAAGCCTGCTTAAAACAATTACCATGTTAGATACATTACAAATTGGTAATATTTTACTAATATGAAAAACGTTCGCTCAGCCTTGAACAGTTACTCTGTCAAATCCTCTTCACCTTATAAGTTTAGAAATAACAAACCAAACAAGCTACTTGCTGTTTGTTCTACGAATGAAAATAGTTCATGCCCTGCGCAAAGATGGTTTTATTATATAATAATGTTAATTTTTCATAATCTAACTTGTCAAACTTTTATAGAATCATTAACCAATTGATGCAGATTCATGTGTTTTTGATAATGAAACTTTGCCGCCAACTACAATTAAACAAGCAGGATGGCCACGAAAAACTTAGTTGTGTAGTCGTGGAGAAATGGCACCAGAAAATCAGTTTACTTGTGGAAAATGTAATAAAAAGGTCATAATTCGTGTACAAACAATCGAAGACTTAGAAATAGAAAATAGTATGTATATTATTTAATATTAAATAGTTTCTATAACAAGTAATTAGGCTTGCGTAGTAACATTCAAAATTTCGCTAATAATATTTTTAATGAATTCGATATAACGAAATTCTAAAATGTCTAAAACATCTAATTAATCATGGCGCTATTATGTTTAAACCGACTTTTTTAGCTACAATATATTTGGGCCCTTATTTGTAATAATTTTCAAAAATGTGCCTCTATTTGTAATTATTTTCATTTTGGGCCCTTATTTGTAATTATTTTTGGTTTTGGACCCTTATTTGTAATTTCCCCTAAAAAATATCTAAAGTGCCTAACTATATTACTCCTATTTCTACTCCAATTATCATTATTTCCTGTAGACTAGGCCAAATACCATGAAAAGGTCTGCCAAATGTGCTCGCGAATACAATGCCTTTCGGGAATAATATCATTATTACTGACAAAAAACTCGCAATCACCATCAATTATTTCTTGAATAGATGGATTGGTAATGACAAAAAAATGACCATTTAATTCATTGTATAATATTTCGTCATTAGGATGTGAGAGATGTCCATAATTTTCTTAGTGAGTGGTATAACTTGCTCCAAAAAAAAGCTCATAATTTTTTGAGATCTTTTTTTCTAAAAAATCGATAACAAAAATCATCGTCGTAAGATTCACCAATAAATATTCTGGTGTCAATCATGTCAGCATCATAAGTATCATCAGGACTTAAAGGTAAATGAGATATTTCTATCTTAAAGAAACATGAATCTAAAAATTGATTACTAGACAAACATTTCACTAAACCAAATGTTTAAATATTTTCTTAATCATTAACATATTTATAAAATTTTTATATTTTAAGAAACAAAACTATTATTATGTTTTTTTGCCATTATTAACACATTTGGATATGTCTAAAATAACTATTAAAATAGTGGTTCACCATTGTTTTTAGTGTTGTTTTTGTCAATTCAAAAATATTAAGCTACTGTGAACAGTACTGAGATCCAATAAGAATCTCAAATTTACTATGAATGTAAATCAAGAATGACACTTTTCAATGCTTCTATTTTCATTAGGTCTTTTAGTCCTGATTTACAGTAATAAATATATTGCTTATTTAATTTTAAAGGCTAAAATAATTTAGCATGCATGATTTGAAATGCGACATCTTTTTTTAATGAAATTTTTTAAATAAAAATAATCAACAAGTTTAGTACGACTTTTTTTTAATAGCCTTATCATTAATTGATTCTTTTGTTCGTGATAATGCCTAATTGTTTTTGAGATGCAGTTTTAAAAATTTAGCACATTTATATGCAAAAATATTTATTTATGTGAAAATTGTAAGTTCATTTCTGTTCATTTAATTTGTGCAAAAAAGAATACTAGCTTTAATTGTCTAAAAAGAATGGATATTGATGCAATAAATGGCACTATTTTAAATAGGTCACATTTTAGCGTCTTAGGGAACTGATACTTATTACGTAAATAATATGAACTTTAAATGATTAGTTATTTAAAGCTTGTAATGTTGATTTAATTTCTGCATATAAGTTCACAAATTCTCTAACATTTAGAGGTTCTTCACAGTTCACATCTCTAGTTTGATTAATAAATCAGGTTATACTGAAAACATTCAATTGATAACAAACCAAAATTTCATGAAATTTTTAGCCCGTTATCTATCTATCTATATATTAAAAAATTGGATGACTCTCGCATATTAAATAATCTGAAAAATGACCTTAAATCTTAAACGATATAATAGATATGATATTGAACAAGATTCAGCTGACTTGTTTACAAAAATAAGAGAAGAGTTAGGAACAACTAATCCAGCAGAAAATCTTTATGAAGATTTGTACCAAATTCTGGGAGCGATTAGGATGCTGAAGCAAGTTGCTTTACAATAAAATTGTCGCTAAATTAAAGATCACGGTAATTGTATTCATTGTTCTAAGTCACTTGTAATATTAACTAGATTTCATTATATTAAACAGAAATTGCATGGATGATATCATCTCCCGATCACACTTCTTATTAAGTGTTAGTTGATGGTACTAATCAGTCAAAGTAATTTAAGCAAAAATCAGTTTTCAATAATCTTTAGCTATAGTATTATTGTTATTCAAATTTAATGTAAATTTTTTTATAATATTTATAAATTTGATCTTCAGAATTTTTTAAAATAATGATAACTTATTAAAGTTCTTAATTAAACACACGCAATAGTTAAGTAATGATTTCCAATAAATGTTAAACATGTACAGCATACTATTGATTAGTTGTTTATATTTCTACTCTTGGTTTGATAACAAATTTAACAATCCAAATAACAATAACTTACTAAATGAAGCTATTATTCTTATTTGTGTAAAAAAATACTTCATGGATTAGTGTTATGTAACAAGATAAGACTTTATTATTCAAAGTATTTTGAACACAAATAAGGAAGGTATTGAGTCTTGGGAGTTCTGTTTTGCAGGATCTGAGATAAGTTATAAAATATTGCACAAAAACTTATCATTTAAAATATATACAGTCAACTCTCTCTAAGTGCAACTCCTCTAAGTGCAACTTCTCTCTAAATGCAATTAAATAGTCTGGTCCCATGTTGGAACTTATAACATAAATGCAATTTCTTTATTCTCTAAGTGCAAGATTTTTTTTTAGCCAGCATATATAAAATTATTTTTTCTAATTGCAAGATATTTTATTAACCAATTAAATTGACTTATTTAATTAAAGTCTTTCTAAGTGCAAAATATTTTTTTTAACTTATAAACTTGCATATAGAGAAAATTAATTATATATTAATTTAGTTTTCTTTAAGTGCAAGTTCTCTCTAAATGCAAGATATTTTGCTAGCCCGTTGACTTGCACTTAGAGAGAGTTAACTGTATATTTTATTAATATAACGATTAAACAATGCAAACAGAAATTATTAGATAAATACCTGTTCTTCCATCCGTAATACGTATTTAATTCTTGAAATATTTATTGGACAAATACTTTATATATATTTATATATAGTTGAATCCTTTAATTATAAATGTGGGTTCTTTCACATTTTGTTGTAAAAGAACCATAATAAATTAACTTAATTACTTAGGAATCGTTTTCTTGTTCTTTAAAATACAGTGTTAATATTGTTGCTAACAGGATTATATATTAATTCTTCAGATTGTAATACTGGGGTGCCCACAGCAAAAGGTGGCTTTGGGCCAGCCAATCAGACTTTGAGATTTTATATAATAACTAATCAACTAATGAATAACTTTATAAAAACAAATTTTGTTTGCTAAATGTATTAACAAAAAGATGTAAATTATTTTGATACCATTATATAAATAATAGTCACATACCAATTTTTTGGGAGATGGCTAAAGCCGTGAGCGTTATTTTGAGACAAAAAAAATTTTAAGTATTTATATAAAAGTAGACAAACAAAAAATGCATTAGAACTGGATTTGGTACTTTAAGACTGATATTGTTATTCACTTTAATTATTCTATTAAACTATAAGTCGTAAGTATAGGTTACATTGTATGTTTTAAGATTTATATTAGGCTAACAAATGTTCAGAGTTTCATTTTAATGGTTTGTAAAATAGGTAATACAAAATAACCGCGACAAAAATAGCATAAATTAAAACAAAATTGTTTTAATTATTTCCAATAATCTATTCATATCGACTAAAGCTTCATCATACAGAATGGCATGTTTAGATGACACGTATGTGTACGTTGCACACGTGCTTGCTCGTTTCGTTATAAAGAATTTTGCATTGTTACTTCAATTGACGAAAGAGAATTCAGAATTAGAAATAATTAATTGAATTAATTTTATTTTTGTTTAAAATAAATCAATTGATAATGCTTTTTAATTTGTTGTGCTTTTTTAAAATTTTACAGTAATATTTACAAATATCTATTAAAATTTTAAAAGCAAAAGAAAATACCAACGACAAATTAAAAGTATGCTTTTTTTATCCATTTATATTATTTTTAAATTCGAAGAATTAATCCTATAAGAGGAGTTAGTTTCATTAATATTACTCAAAGTGTTTGTTAATTAAGTATAATTAAATGATGCCACATATTCATTATTGAAAATGCATTAAAAAAAAGTGTTCTTGTAGTGTAAATTCTAAATTCAAAAGTGATTCATTGAAAAAAAATTTTTCTTCATAAATTATAAATGTTATAATGATCTAAATTATATCCCAGTTGAGCCTAATCCGCAGATTCAACCCCATAATATCAAACCACAAACTCAATTAGAAATTACCCAATTCAGCCCCCATTGACTCCTGTGCAAGCCAACATTCAAATTAATAATAACCTCCAAAGACAACCATCATTCGCATCTCAAACCTCAAAATATAACCGTCCAGCCTTTATAAGAGTTTAAAATTGTAACTGTCTTGTTTGTATATTTTAAAGAATCAATGTTTTCAAAATATTGGCGCTGAACCTAATGTTGTTAGTCGAAATACTCTATTAAGTCAAATATTTAGACAATTTTGTGTCGAAGTATATTTCGACATGACATTATATTTTGTCGAAATGTCAAA